ACTCACTCACTCTCACTCACTCACTCTCACTCACTCACTCTCACTCAGTCACTCTCACTCACTCACTCACTCTCACTCACTCACTCACTCAGCGTGCGTGACTGAGTGAGAGTGAGGGGGAGTGAGTGAGCGTCTGACGGCGCCCGCCACGAAATCTGCACTTCGAGGTTCAACAAGTGCTGTGCCTAACACGAACACAAAGTGCTGTGCCTGCAACGAAATCTGCACTTCGAGGTTCACCCAGTGCTGTGCCTGCCACGAAGTCTGCACTTCGAGGTTCACCAAGTGCTGTGACTGCCAGGAAATCTGCACGTCGAGGTTCACAAAGTGCTGTGTCTGTCACGGACTCTGCACTTCGAGGTTCACAAAGTGCTGTGCCTGTCACGAACTCTGCACATCGAGGTTCACAAAGTGCTGCGCCTGCCACGAAATCTACATGTCGAGGATCACAACGTGCTGTGACTGCCACGAAATCTGCACGTCGAGGTTCACAAAGTGCTGCACCTGCCACGAAATCTGCAAACGAGCCACATGTCCAAAAGTAACGACTCATTGCACCTGTCACGAGATCCGCCTCGAAGATCACCACCATGTCCAAAGTGCTGCTCCTGCCACGAAATCTGCACTTCGAAGTACAACCGCGAGGTTTCCCTTGCACCTGCCACGCAAAGTGACCACCATGTGCGAAAATGCGCACGGCAACACAACGAGAGCGCAGTCGCGACACCCACTCGCCGCCGCCACCCAGATTTCGCGAGCCTGCGCAGTCGAAATGCACTTCGACGATTTTCAAAGGCATGAATGTACTGTAAATAGAAGCGAATTAGCCGGTCACGCCAGCGCGCTTCAGCGATCTAAGCATCAGCTGCTTTTCTATTACCGTAAGTAAGAACCCCTAAGTGTGTGTCCACACTGTTTGGGGAATAAAGGAAAAAACATCGCCACCGTACACCTATAGCAACATGTCAAAAGCGGAAAAACACAGTAATCGCGCACGTGAACCACAGCTGCACGTCAGTGAACATGACTGCCGCATACATCTTAGATTCTTAGATCATCTTAGTGTGCATGTGAACATAGCAAAAGTGACTATATGTAGTCACGTGTTAGTGTGCGTATGAACATGAACGTCATTACACCCCACCACACCACACCACACCATGCTGTAGAATGCACACGACTACACGTACGGTTTCCCATCCATTGGCACAAACGAGCACCACAACTGAACCACCTGGTTGAGCAATGTCGACGAATCCCCCTACCAGAATGGCTTTACGGGGGTTTTGTTAAATCAGTCTACATTAGAAGCTTTGCATCATATTGAAACTTGATTAATGATTAAAATTAGTCGCACATTATATGTTCCAGTATGACTGAATGATCCTGAATACCTGCAAAAAACACGGTTGACACATCCGAAGTGCTTTTTCGTTCATGTTCATGTTTCGGTAGAAATCCAAGGAGCGTGTGATTTTCTAGCAGCAGAAGTGGAGATCCATCTTCTTCTTCAAGAAATCGATGGTGTAATGGGGCTGAAAGAGTTACATACATAGTTACGTCATACTCATGGGTTTAGATGTAATGTAACTCTTCCAGTCCCATGAATGGTTTGAGTGGGCAAAACCCAGAATATCCCCCATCCGATTCTTGCTGCCAAGCCCTCCAGTCCTCGTCCAGCGCCAGTTCCTCTGTCGGCACCTTGACCACCTCCAGGGGGGTTGACCATCAGGTGGCGCCAGGAAAATGCAGGTTGGGGTTGATATCCCGTGACTTGGGACGAATCGAGGTGATGCCTCCAACCTAGCAATCGCATCCAACCTACTAGAAAGCGACCCTGATTGACGAGGTGGGCGCCTCCAGCCGTTCTACTTTGCTATCTTTGCTTTCTTTTTTCAGCACCGGTTTTCGCACCGGAGGAACGCCATCCCGCGATCCTGTACATCTGGTAGAATCACCCCATCCAGGCACTCCATGAGTGTCGCATCTGTGCCGATCAGTTGGGGTAGAATATGTGGAATTCAATTGGCATCGCTTCCGGTTCCCAAACTGGTCATGATTGGACCAGGGTCATGAATACCAGGGTCATGATTGGCTCGACTCGGGAATCCTCAAAAGGACTGAAAGTACAGTGTGTGTACGGTGTGTATGAACATATTGTCTCTCGGGTCGTCTCGTCCGTTTCCTCGTTGGGTGTTGCAGTCCAGCCCACCCATTGAGCCAGGGAGTCTCCCTATTCAATAAGATACCCATTAGGTGACCCAAGGACCCAAGGACCGGGTCTATTCCATGACCAACATCTAGTAACAGTGGATGATGGATCGATAGTAAAAGGCTTGTTTAAAACATCGTAAAGTCAGGATAGAGACCCCCCCATCTGTGGAGACCCCGGGTTGGGATCCAAAGCCAAACCCAACAGGATCTCCGAACCGAACCCCATCCACCCCACCACTGTCTCCACCCCACTCCGTCTGCCTCTCTGGGGTCATGGGAAGGGAAGTCCTGACCGTTCACGGTGGCCTGGCGTCGACCGGCTTGGTGACCATGCGGACAGTCGTGGTTTTGGGGAATGGTTGGGAGCTGGCGGGAGTGGCGCATCTGCCACTCCAGAATTTGGATGATAGATGTATCAGAGTCTACTACATCTGATATACCGGGGCACTGGAACCAAAAAGCAGCTTGGAGGCATCTACAAAGGCATTAAACAAAAACACACCAAGGCCTCCTCCCAAGCGAAACACCCCATGCACTCCATCCCCACTCCGTCCGTCCATCCGCTCCTGTCCGTTGTGTCCCCGGAAGTGGATCATCTCCACGGGGCCCCGTTGCGCGCCCAGGGCCGCCATCTTCACCTCCACGGCGCCACCGAAGCCGTTCTCCAGGACGCTCCTGGGATGGAGAAGAGGATGAAGTGGAGGGGATGAAGAGGATGGCACGACTGGGGTGGAAAGAGTTATTGTATGCTATATTAGTCTTTTGGGTTTAAAACAAAGACGAGGGATGCTGGAATCATAGTGAAAGATGTTTGCAATGTCTTTGGAAAGAGATGTCCAACTTCCTCCAGTTAGGATGTCATCACTTCGTTCACTTGGTGTTGCTAGGTTTACACCTTGTTTGTTTCTCCGACCGTCGATTAAATAATAGAAGGGAGACTGGGAGCAGCTGAGGAGAGAGGTGCCAGTGGCGAAGCGCTACCCGAAACCCGACACAACCTGTCTGGCCCAGTGATATTGACAGACCAGGCCAGGGGTGCTTGAGGGGTGAATGTCTATTTACGTCCAATGTGTCTGGGACACATAACAACTGCATGAACCTTCCGGAAAAAAAACACGGGATTCTCCTCCAAAGCACCCCCGAAGTTCGAACCCTCCGGTCATAATACCTCGAACTTCACCCGGCTCAATGGGCCTCATGGTGACCTTTTCCTCGATCTCGAACCTCTCGACCTCGTTCCGACCTCGTTCCGACCTCCGCGACCTCCGCGTACGCGTCGTGCGTGGCCGGGCGGCTGCTGGAAGAGCCCGGCCGCATCCGGCAACGGCTCGTAGGCGATGGCCCGCACGCGCACGCCCACGAGGCCTATGGAGTCTCCGATCCGGTTAGGGCCGAGGCCGCTCCGGTCGGGTTAAGGCCCAGAGTATAAAGGCTCTGGTCTGAAAGTCATCCGGTCAAGGCCAGATTCGTTGGAAGGTTTGACTTGATTTCTCGAAACCCTGGACCCCCTAGCCTTAGATCACCTCTTGGTGCGGCCCAGATCCTTCGATACTTAGACAGCACCCACAGCAAAACGGAAGGTAGTTGGAGCCCGACGGAAACGAAAGAGAGTGGACCATGGAACAGGTCCACCATAGAATTGGATGGGGGTAAACTTCTCATATTGTCCATGAGACATCATGGACCATGTAACTCTTCGATGGAGCTGGAATAGTTGCGCTACCTTGGATGGGTCAGAAAATGGACACCCATGATTGTCCATGTGTGTTTTCCTCTTCCAGTCTCCTGGATGGTCTGGGGGGGGGGGTAGGTATGTTTGCCAAGGACACCACCAATAGGGGTTTCAATTTTCATCCAGTTTCACAGTCTTTCACCCCAAAAAAACACACCATTAGTAAAGACTCAAACAGACCACTTCTACCAGCACCTTCACTGCCAGCTTTTAAGTCTGCAAAAGCCACCAGAGAAGACCTGTTGGAAGGTGCCGGTACGTAACTATAGAGAGTGCCACGATGTGGCCACAACCTACCTTGCTGCAATTATATCTGTAAGTGGCTTGGGTCCCCCAAATCCCTGCAGAGAACACCAAAATGTGGACCACAGAAGTGCTCCATGTCACAGTCTGGGATACACCGCTTCATACGGTAAAACCCCTGAAGATCTCTGCAGCAAGACGATGAAAAACGTATCCAAGCATGATCCAATACACCAGCGGGAGACCCTATAGCGTTTCATCACAAGCTCCCAAGAACAGTCTTTTGGGACTTTTGCGGGCTACTTGAGCTATAGTGCGAACGAGCATGTTCTGTATTGCCTGTATTGCGTCAAAGATGGGTGACACTTCTCATCTGTTTCACCTCGTCAGTTTCGCCCCCCCTCATGAAAGACCCGCGAAAAAGCACCAGCACCGCGTGAACGCGATGTGGCCTCAGGACATTTACACCTTCTTTTGATGGTTTCAAGACCTTTCCCAGACCAGACCAATGGGACTGGCATATTTACATACATTGACCCCAGGTCAACCACCCCAATGTAGGTAATGTTGACTCTTGATTAATGAACCCCCCATATGAAAAGCATGTCCAATTCAAATGGGAGGGTTTATTAATCAAGAGTCTAAATATAATACATCATACATGGATGGTCTGAGTTTCTGTGACCTCGGCCACCGGGGACCTCGGCCTTCGTGCTCTGACCGAGCGTCGTAGAGCACTCGCAGCCCAAAGGGCGCAATCGCCCAAATGAGGGCCTCCCACAATGGGTGGCCGTCCAAACCCTGACACTCCATACATTGGGGCCCTCATTGGGGTGGTTTCAGGCAAGGTCAATTCAGCTAGTCTATATTCCAGCCGCATGAAGTGTCTAGAAGAGAAGGGCTTTTCAAGAAGAAAACACCAGGCCTCCCTTGCTGAGAATGTCCCGGATGCAGAAAATGTCTATGTGTGGTCAGATCCAGATATCGCCTTCCATGTTTTGTCGCGTTCGTTCAGAGGTCAGGTGACAATTGTTACCTGATGCTGTAGACTTCAAACAGCTGATGTGGTTGATCATCTGATGGTCACCATTTTGTAAAGGCAATGATTGTTGCAACCCGGGTGTGGGTCCTTCAACCCCGCAACCATGGTGAACCCCATCGAAAATGAACAGATCGAGTCAGAGTCCTCTAGCCATCTGGGTCCACCGGTCAACCGAGCACCATCAGACCGCCCCACCGAGATCGATGAGGCCGATGAGACTGAGACTGAGACTGCTAGAAGCCATCCATGGTTGTTCTTTGGGTCAGAGGATCAGAAGTGTTGGCTGCAAAAATGTCTCCAAAAAGTACCGTGATGGGCTCGATCCTGCAGCGAGCGCATCGCTTCAAGGCATCCTTCGGTTACAAGAGCTACGCTCCGGTTACAAGGCGAGCGAGGCTCCGGGTCGCGGCCCGCATCGCGGCCGAGTCTTCTCGCGCCTCCCTCGATGAAGGTGAACTCGCAAAGGCTCAAGTCCTTGCAGAAACTTCCTTGGATGCCATCACTAGTAGGTGGAGTAGGTGGAGGCCATCGCTCTTAGGTTGGAGGCCATCGCTGTTAGGAACAAAGAACAAAGAAAAAGAAGAAAGGTATAGATAATATGGGTTGCCATTAGGAGTGCAGAAGGAGGAACCGGGAGACACCACAAGACCGACCGGTCTCCCGGTTCACCCTGGGGCTCCATAGATCCCAAGGGCTCCGGGGTCTGCCGTTTCTCCCATTTCGAAGGTGGGACTGGGGTCGGTGCCGGGGTCGAATACCATCGAACCTGAGGAGATGGGCCGTTCATGGAGCAGAGCCCGTTTGGGTATATACTGTAATGCTGTGGGTCAAAAACTGGACTCCAGTTTTTCCCAATGAAGAGAATGGACGACCGGACCGGGACCGGGAGGTCAACCTACCCACAGCCACAGGGATGTATGAACTGTCATAAGGATGAAGGAATCTGTGCCAGAGTTCGCAGGACTTAATCAAAATTCAATATCTGGTCGACATAGGGTTTCTGGGATGGTGCAGGATTTGTCAGTGTTTTAGCTATATTTAATTGCTATTAATTGCTTAAGTGCCCCACAGATTGACTGGTTCACTTTTTTTTTGTCATTCTCTCAGCCCTCTCTAAACTGACCCTTTCATCTAAGTCAATTCAATGCGAAATTCCACTGCACTATACCCACAGCCGCATTCATTGGAACTCTTGGCCCCTCAAAGCAGTTTTGCTCTCACCTTCCAACTTCCACCCTGCACCTGTTCATGTCTGAAAATGCCTGTCCTCCAGGTAGACCCCCTTCTTTGGGCAGCCGGCTTCCACTGCCGCCTCTCCAGCGGGGTTTCTCAGGGGCTTTGCGCGTCGGAGTCAGCATCCATGAGGTTGCTAGATTTGAAGGTCGAGCTCAAGAACCTTTGGGGTTTGGTTGTCAGGTCCCAGAACAGCAAGAGGATAAGTTCCTACAAAGCTTCTAAGGAAAAGCCGCCAAGGAACCAATGAGATGTTTACTGGAGCTGCAGAAAGATGACTCCCACAACCAGCTTTGTGTTCCTTTTCTCACGCAGCATCACAAGGCTCTGACGCCCCAATTTTTTACACGAAAAAAGATACCCGGCCTTCCACTAACATGGACACCCACAGCCAAAGACAATGTTAAGATCCTTTTCTCATCCCACCCTCATCTTACTCCAAAACAGTTGGTGTCCATGTTGTCCTGACACTACCGGGTGATCCGCTCTGATCCGCTCAGCGCTGCTTGATCTGGGGTCCTCCGAAGGTCTTCTCGATGTTGCCCAAGGCCGTATCCCAATTCACCTGTCGATCCGCCGCGACACGTCTTCACGCGACGCTCGGAGCTCGGCAGGAGCGAGCTGGACGTGCGACTCCGCGCGGGGTGCGGCCCTTGGACCGTCAGGCCGCAGTGGTGGGCGTTGATGAGGCCGGAATCCGGACACGAGAAGGCATGGGAATTGACCAATCTCCAGCCACGTGGTACAACCACAAAGCACAAACTGCTTGACTGTGCAGAGGTACAAGGTGCCTTGAACCACAGGTTTCGAGCCACGTTCACTTTTTCCATCTTCTACAACTTTTACCAGTGTTTGAGCCATACCCAGGTAGTGGCTAGTAACCCCGATCCTGCTTCAAGCTGGTAAATCACCACTAGCTATCCAGACATATCAAGGCTTCTCATCCAGCGACCATGACATGGAGGGCACAGGGCCCATGGACTGCATCCGTTGTTGCGTCCGTCCCACCGTCTGCGTGGGATCGCCTTCTGGAAGAGCTCGTCCACGTTGGATTGCTTCGCCACCAGGATCGCGCGCTTCCTAGCAAGGTGATGAGCGCGCGAAAGGGGCAGCGCGCGCAGATCGATCGCGCGCAGATCGATCGCTGCGTGGCGCTTCGCGTGCTTTTCGTTTTTGCAGATTCTGAGGTTTCGGCGGGACGATGAGAGAGTGCTGGAATTCGATTAACAAACAAACATTGGTGACAGTGGTTCTCTTGTACGTTGTATGATGAGGGATGATGAAGGTAACAGTGGATGGTGAGTGTTGGAAGCAACTGATGCTTTTGACATCTCTCGACCCACACAATGATCATCATCTTTGCAGAGGCCTCTTTTCCAGACCTCCAACTTCCCTTTGCCACACCACAGCACCCAGCCACCCCACCACTCAGCAGAAGTGCCATCATCCAAGTGTCCCGTATGGCACCGACTTGAACAGCTCCACGGCCAGGCCACCTGGGCTCATCTCTGCCGCCAGCCACACCCAGCCCTTGCCATCGTCCTCCACCTGAAAGATCAGGGTGCTCGGACGCATAGCAGTTCTACTCACCACTGCAAGGAGAGTCCCACAACCACTAAACATTTCTTCCAAAGCTCTTCCAGGGGTCCAACACACGGTTGTTGCGTTGTTGTCTTGACATCTGGTATGTCTTCGCATGCGTCTCCGTCCACCGCGCCTTCTGAGTCTCATCCACGCCGTAGCCAACGCCGCCCTTGGTCACGAACCTTGTGCTGCTCACAGGCGACTATGGGTGTCGATGCTGGTATGAGGTTGTATATCCCCTACGTTCTATTTTGGATAGATGGAATACCATCGGTGGGGTGGTTGCAAAGAGTCGATGATGGTCAGTCTCATAGCAACTATTGCACCTGCTTGGCCAGGTATATTCCAGCATTCAACTCGACCAGTTCTTGCTGTTCATTTCAATCATAGACCTGTCACGCCACCTCCGGAGGCAGTACCATCCCAAAAACTTGGGCCCCCGGTTCTGCAATCGTATACACACGCTGATAGGAAACAAAAGCTTCTGCTCTCAACACTCTCTTTGTGTTCTATGTTCAAGTTAACCTCTTGTTCATTCTGCTGCTTCGGGTGTCTGGCGTCGGTAGGGTTTCTTGAGGCCAGGAACATGGGGTTGCTCATCTGCTCCTTGAGCTTCGCCACGCCCACCGCGATGTCCTGCGTGAGAGTCATCGAGTGCGTAAAGATTTGGAGACCTTTCGCCATACAAGTAGGAAGGACGCTACTAGGGGCTCCTGGCCGTACTACTAGGAACAAGAAGCTACGAACGGGGCTCCTGGCCTTACTACTAGGAGCGATCGGACGCTACGAACGGAGCAAGAAGCTACTAGTAACAAGGGCATCGCATACTAGGAGCATAGAATCGTACAAGCTCCTGTGTACAGAATCTGGCCCAACAGCCAAACATGATGACACCATAACTGGCCAATTCCAGATTCGGTTTTGGACAACCCAACATGGCAGCAATTCATTCGATACTCGGATAAGAAACTCCTGAACATCATCTGCACAATCGAGAACATGCCAAGCCATGCGGCTTCCCAAAAGAAACAGATGTCAAAAGAACTTTTCAAATCTCGTTTTGACAGCGCTCCGATGCGTTTCAGAGCAGCGCTGACAGAAGTCCCGTCCTTCTTGCCGATGTTCCCTGGAGGAGGGCCCTTCCTGCGACGGAGAAAAGCCTCTAATGGATTCTAATGGCCTAGCCATTGGAGGCCTGTCAGCTACTACAAAAAATGTCACATACCTGGACCTTCCTAGAGGTGCCCATTCTGTAGTGTAGGGAAGCCTAAACTAGGTAACGTCTAGAATCTAGAATTTGAAGGTGCTGGGTGGGTAGCTGGACTTTTGTCTAGAAGCCTACGGTTTGAGCAATTGAAACAACTGCATGGTGTCTTTCATCTACTGGCACCTCCACACATGATGAGTCTTCCTTTAAAAAAATCACACTTGCATACACTTGGGTAATTCTATGGTCCTGCTCCAGTGACCCTATCAAAGCCACTTGGCTCAAAAAATCCGCAAGACCTCTATGGAGATGTTTGGGCTGCGAAGGTAGTCAGTAGTTGGATCAAAGGCTTGATGGGAAGTCCTTGAGAAAAGGACTCAAAACTGCCATGAAAGAGGTGTGGTGCAACGTTCTAAGTTTACAAATCCAAATCTGTCACCGCAATGGCACAATGGCAAGATTCTGCTGCTCCACAGCAGTCATCTAGGACTTCCTCTGTCATCCAACACGCACAGTCACAGCAACCTACAAAGGTCAACAAAAGTTTAGTCAACTGCATCCCAACACCCATGATATATCTCCAACTATAGCGTCCCACGAGGTCTCACAACCTAAAGTGCAACCCAACGTGTGCGCAGTCGTGCTTCAACCGCAGTGCCACCCACACGTCACCCCGCTCCAGAGGCCGCTGTAGCGCTTGAAGCCCTGCGGTGTGAAGTCACCGTGGAAGAACTTCACCACCAACTCCGAGAGCACGGTGCCCTTGGGAGGGTCACCACCAGCGCCAGTCCTCAGTGTTTAAGCCACGTGACACAGTTGGCTGTGAATGGAAGAAAACCTGCACCCAATTGAGAGAAGCAATACCACGGCACTTCTGGTGTTTTGGGCCGCATACCGACAGGCATCCACTGCCAACCTTTGAGGTTTGATGTGGCATGAAATGTGGTAGGATCTGTTGGGCACATGCCCAACAAATCCACTATCTTGGACGCTGCAAAGCCTCAGCAGTGTGGTGGAAATGTGGATCTGAAGGGTACAGCTGGCTGCTTGGATCCACTGGACAGTGAGTGGATGAGGGAAAACAGGTCGCCATGCTGGACACATGCTGAACATTCGGGTCACCATGCTGGACACCCGATCCGCTTGAAGACCGAAGACCTCAAATTGCTTGAGGAATCTATGTACTTAAGGAATCTGGAAGGAACTGACAGCAAACAACGTAGAAATGAATCACGAAGCAAAATCAGATCATACTGAATCGTGGTTTAGCAGGGACCTCTATCTTGGCTGTTGGCAATTGAGGATGGGAAACCTAGCTATCTCACAATCCCTTCTAGATGTATTTGAGCCCCTAAGCCCACACCCAGACCATCCATGTGTGGAATAGTTGCATACTGATATTTACCCCATTCATGGAGTGTCTGGGTAATGAAAACCACCTCTAACCAGCTCTTCTGTGGAGTGGGGTTCATACGAAGGGGG